TCAGGGTTTACAGTGTCAAAAGAAACTCTCCCACTAGGTTGTCTCTCCTTGCTGAGTCAGTGATGATCTCTCTGTCTGGTTTGGATGTATTGATCTTTTGCTTTTGTAACTTACACATGGTTCAGTGCGATGTCCCATAGCCCACCTCTGCCTAACAAGAGGCTTCTGATTTCCTTGGTAAAATCCCTTCCCATTCAGTGTTAGTTATTTTCCCATTTAGCTGTTCTCCTGTGCTTTGTTTGAAACAATCTTCACATGTAGATGTGTTCTCTAAAACAAGAAAAAAATTCCAACTAGTAACAGAGTGATCTTCTTCAGGTGGTTCTGATTGCACCACGGGTTCAACCCAATTAATCAGTACAGATGGTTCCTCCAGAGCCTGTCGTGCTTCTCAGCTGTTTTATCTAGTCTTTCTAGATATCATAGTATCTTAGTATCTAGTCTTTCTTGGGGGATGAGCAAGTGAATGTGAGCCAGCATTGTGCTCTTGCAGCTTGTAAAGGAAAGTGTATCCTGGGCTCCAACAGAAGAGGGGTGGCCTGCGGGGACAGGGAGTTGATTGTCCCTCTCTACCCCGCCTTTGTTACTTCCCATCTGGAGTACTGTGTCCAGGTCTGCAGTCCCAAGTACAAGAAAGAGAGGGAGCTGTTGGAGAGAGTCCAGAAGAGGGCTGCAAAGATGATCAGAGGGCTGGAGCACCTCTCCTCCAAAGACAAAGATCCTTGAGGTCCCTTCCAACCCCAGCCATTCTATGACTGATGCATTACCGTACGTTTTCTCAGCCTTTTTACACTTTGCAAAATGCTTTGAGTGCTGATGCCCAGCATTGAGAAGTGATTCTGCAAGTAGACTTGGATTGCATTTGAATTCACTGGTAAATTCTTCATTTCATTTCAGATACTGTTGACGTTTCTCAGTACAGCCACGTTTTTAATAAGCTGTTAAGCGCCTGTTATGAGAGCAAGAACCTCGGGGTCTCATCTTCTGCAGTAGACTTCATGCTTTCAAAAAATGTTGCCATTGATTTTTTCTTACTTAGAGGATTAATCACAGGCTTGGGAAGAAGTTGTTTGTGGAGTAAAGCTCGAACCTACTACAAAAGTAAGTTGCTTTTTAGACATGCTTCTCTGGTACTCTTTGGGCAATGTTAACAGCTCAGTCTGTTGGGGTGAAGTGGGTGAGAGTATGTGTTGTAAGGAGAAAACAGCATTTTGTGTCAACATCGGGAATTTCTTTGTAACCGGAATGTGTTTCAGGAAATACAAGTCAGTGAATACTACTTGGCACAAAATAAATGTAGTTAAATTAAATGATTGATTTCAGAATTTCAAAATGTGAACCTTGGAATGTTTAAGATGTCCATCATCTTCACATTTTCATCTAGGCAGACTAGAACTCTCTATACTCCTGTTCGAAGCTTGAATTATTGCTAATCATTGTTTTAGGTAACATTTTACAACAGTGATTGTTAAGAGGAAATACTTGTTGTCTTCTCAAAACAGGCCATTTCACAGATGGAACAGTAAAATGCTTTAAGATTTTGTGTTTTTTTCCCCACATTCTTAGCCATGTAAGGAAGAAAGCAGATCCACATTCAGTTTTGGTAATCCTAATTTCTTACATTTCTGCCTTTATTCTCAGCTGCTTTATCATTGGGTTGCTACCCACCACTGCAGGGAAATTTACGTCACAAAATATTGCCTATTCCTTTTTATGTGTCTGAGGTTGAGATGCTGTTGGCTATTGAATTATTCCTCGTTTCAAATGCCAGTGCTATTCAAAGTCCAGGAGCTACTACTCAGAGTTTTCAAATAATACTGAAAAGGTATGTTGTCAGATATGTACTTTCATTTTTTGTACTGATCTGTGTGAAGATGTAATTAAGAAGACATGTTATTTTCTATTGAGAAAAAGAATCCTTGTTTTCTCAACTTCTTTGAATTCTTTTTTTCCAAACTGGTTGAAGAACAGTCCATGTTTTCGGTTTTGTTTTCTATACTTGTAGCAGAAAAACAGTTGTTCCAGAGTGATGCAGGCCTGTGTTTCCTATCTGAATGCGATGTATGTATTACAAGTGTACTACTGCATGTTCAAAATCAATGTAGGTTCATAGCTCAGTACCTGAATCCTGGTATTGTAGTTAAACAAGTCTGGGGAAGGACCCACCCACGGTCAAAATGCTAACTCCTTTCATAAAACAAATGTAATATTTTTTGGCAATTCTTTGGGAAGTACATGACACCATTTTATTTTATTTTATTCTTCTTCTAGGGAATATAATGACATTAAAGTTCAGTGTAGCTTTTTTATTTCCCCTCCCTCCGAGACTGAGTACCATTAGATAAAAAATTGCTTTGTTACTTTTACCTCTTGTCCATCAACCACGAAGCACTCTTGTTGGGGCTATACCTACAACTTATTTTATGAGATTGGTTGACTCAGCATCAAGATGTGAAACTGCATATCAAAGCTGCATTTGTTAAGAAGGATGAATGGAAGCATCTCAAACTCGAGTGCTCTTTTTTTCCCTCTATCCTTCCCAAAGAATACATCTCTTAATTTTGTTCTTTTTTTTTTTTTATTTTGCCTTTTTTAGTGTCTTACCTCAAATAATTTGTTTTCTCCCAAGTTTTTCTGCTGGGAATGTTACATTTATGTTTGGAACTCTGGTTACATCAGATCAAAATAGTAATGTCCTGTAAAATAATTTATCTTGCATCCATCAGAGAAGGAGAATCATTCTCAGTTTTAAATGTGGTCAAATTATTAGGAAAACAGTGCTGTCCAGAACAACATTGTAATTTTGAGAATTGTTATCATCAGAAGATCTGTTCTGACTGCACTTAGATTATATTTTTCAGCTAATTTGACACACAAGGAAATGAAACACCATAAGGAGATTATTTTTTTAAAAGAGAATATTTGTTGATGTAGAAGTTGCAGCCTGTAGTAGATGACAATTTCATGAGTATGTTATTTTACATTTGCTTGTGTACTTAATGAATAAGTTCTACTCTTGTGGAAACATAGGCATGTCGCTTAGCACATTTTTATTCCAGAGATGATCACATGCTAAACATGAGGGATCCTTTGGGCTTGAGCATGTTACGTAAATACTTGCAATTTCCAGTTAAAAAAAATGTCTTATGTTCTTTTACTGCATTTGACAGCCCAGAGTCAAGCATTTTTTCACAAAATGTGAAAATTGCAGACCTGTTCTGCACTGGCATTAAATCCTGTTACATTTCAGTACTGTAAAATTTGTTAAAAAGATGACTTCTCACTGTCTAAATTCTTCAGAATAATCAGCTAAAAATTGTCTAGAAATTAGCATCTGTCAGAAGTGAAGAGAATACAAAGCATTATTGTAATGATTTTGTAATCTTGTTGCCAATATAAAGCATGAGGCACCGGATGTGCATGTTGTATAATTTTCTATTTGTGAAAATTCACTTTCAGATGTGAAGACCAGGCAGTTAAGAACAGCAGTGACTATCAAGCAGGAAGGGAGAGACTTATCCTGGCTGCTCGTATATCTGATCCAAAGCTTTTTCTTCAGCATATGACAGTGAACGTTAATATGGAAGAAGTGTACAGCTTGGAGCTCACATCTGCTCTAAAATGGCTTAAGGAGAATATGAAATGGGCAGGGAAGGTCTGGCTGTTTCAGTAGTCATTAATTACTAAAGTCTTCTGAGGGTTAGTTCTTAAAGCAATCATTGTTAAAAATAATAAAAAATACCAAAGGCAGTTACCACTGTGTTCAGACTGTGCCTTACCAGCTTAGAGCGAGGCTTCAAAACTCAGTTGTATTTTTAAACACTTACATTGATGATAAGTGTTGGTAGGTGTAAGGCATCTGTAGGCAGATGGTAGGACAGAGAGTAATTTTTTTTCCCAGCTGTCTGGATTATGGTACCAGTTTACATAGATATTTTTGATGGCATCACTAGATGATGAAAAAGCTGTATCCTTAGGATCTGCCCTCTCCTTTTGTATGGAGATTCTCAGATTCTGGTTGAGTGTTTCTACTTCTTTTAAGTGAAGGGTTTCCCACATTGCTTCACAGTTTGTAGAAACAGTATGTTTTCTTTTGTTTTATTTATGTTATTCTGGGAGGATGTTGTCCCATCTATGTGCCCCGTAGACCTTCAATACCTTATTCCATTAAAAAGTAGTGAAAGTGAAATAACTTGAAAATCATTTACCACATTAGACATACCTGACTTAGGATACCTTTCTTTTGCAGAACGGTGAGTCTGCATGAGTTACTTACAGCTGAAGGCTTAGTTATGTCTTGATAATAGCATCTGTATGCCTTCCCATTTGTATAGCTGTGCCCTTTCACTGAAAAAGAAGACTTACCTCTCCCTTGATGGTGCTCTTAGAGGCAAGTGTTTTTTGGCTTCACCTCTGATAACTGATTTTACCATTTTTTAGTTTCTACCAACTATATGATGAGATGGAGGCTTCTAGCAAGGTGGTTCTGGCATTCCTGTTACTCCAGGAGCTCATTTTCTGCCTGTAATTCCTGAATCACATCTAGGATGTGAATTATTTCAGTCAGACTTCACTTACTAATGCAATCTTATTAAAAAGACTAAATGGCAAATTGATGGGACTTTTGTTAAAGCTGAAATTTGTCCAAGCTTTTCACTTTTGTAGTGTCCAGAATCAGATTTCACAAACACAACAGTACAGCTTTTGGTCTGCTTTCCATCCCTGTTGGAGATCTTTGTGCTGAGAATTTCTGCTCATTTTCACATGGATGCTTACAGGTTTTTGAAGCCTGTTCTATCCTAAGTGACAGTCAGCATGGTGCCATTAAGCTCACAGCGCTTTAGAAGTCTTCCCCTCCTTTGAGGCAGCATGAGTCTCTTCTCAGTTCTAGCAGCATTAATGCAGGTATCCTTTGTCTGAATTGGGAAAGTCATCATGATCTTTATGCATTTTGGAGTGGTGTTGATTTATTTTTGTTTGGAGGAGAGAGGTTGGCAGCATATTCTTCTTTTGCAGAGATCTCACTTGCCTTCCTTCTTAAAACAAAAAGTTAGATTCAGTGCTAACAACCAGATGACGTTTCTTTAAAGCTTCATACCTCAAAATTTCTGTTGAGGAACAGTTGACACTTAATTCATATTGTCTTTGAGTTCTGCCATTTGGTGATTTCAACAAACTAAACTAGCAGTGTAGTCAACAGTGAGAAACAAAGTCATTTCTGCTAATTACTGTTTTGTGAAATCCTCTGTAGCTTAATCTTGCTTGGAATTAGACAGAAGCTATCTGAACCTCAGCTAAATCCCCCATTTCTGTAAGCAGTGTCAGATGTGTCTAATACTATGTTTGAGAGATGCAGAAGAACAAAATACTCTTAGTAATCCTTACAGATTCAAAGCTTGTGATGTTTTAGAGACAGCATTATTTTTCCATTATAAGTAACCCTGAATTTTTGCTTAGATCATCCCCAGGAAAAAAAAAAGGAAAAAAAAAAAGTTCCACAATATTTCGGAGGTTAGTCGTTGACATTGCAGCTTAGCTTGGAACTGTGGAAAGTTTATGCAGTGTTTTGTCTCCATCTTCTGAGTATCATCTTCAGCTAATGTGATGCAATCTCAGTCATGTCTTATATTAACAGGCAAAGCAAGCTCCCCTCATCATGGCTCAGAAGTTATGCAGATGTAACTGATGCATCAGAATCCAGCTTTCTGTCAGTACGGTTTTTTTCTCTATCACCAAGATTAACAACTGGGCAATTTAAAGATATTTACTGTAAGTCTTATACTTCACACTTTTTGAGTCCATTTGGAATACTGGACATATCTGGTCTTTTTGATGTGTATCAGAACTTCAGAAAGATTTATTGATCAACATTCTCAGTAGCATTTTGGCAGCAGAAACTCCATTGCTAAATAAGATATAATGGGTGAGCAAAACTCCAGTGCTGAACGGAAACGGGCCTGAAAGGATGAGGAAATGTTCCAAAGGATAAAGTTAATTACAGCAAAAACGATACAGTTTTGCCAAGTCAGCTACCATAGACAGTACCCATCTCTTTTCTTTTGCCCAGGTATAAGTTACTGTTTCTTAGTAGATGAAAGAACCTCTGTGTTAGAAATAAAGCAACTCTTTTAGTAGATTTTTCTTCCCCCATGTAGGAGACAAAATGTACGCTTGTTTGCAGATTGAGAGAAAAAAATGTGGGAAAAAAATCCTGTGCTACACTTAGTAGCTACATCTAGAAAAGCTATGCTTCTGCATGGCTTTTTTAGTGAAAATGCATGAGAAATGTCTTTCTTTCTCTGTGGAAATCTTTCTCCAGTTTTCACTGATTACAGCGTATACTTTTGGAACTATTACTTTTGCAGGTATAGACAGTTTCGTACAACTAAAACAGAATAATGTCATTTGGAAGACTTGGAACAATTTTGTTTCAAAGCATTGATAGTTTTGAGGGTATTTCAAAACCCACATCTTTAATGGAAGAAGTGAGAAGTTGGAAATAGAAACTTGTTGGTTTATACGATGTTTCATATTGTAGAAGAAGAGGGGAGGGAGGGTCATTTTGGAGGAATTGTTAAGATGTTAATAAATGTTTTATTCTTTGTGTGAAATATCCCAAATGTCTGTGAATCAGTGTTGTCATTGAGATATTTAATTCCATTCAGGTCCCTGTAATTAATATTCATAGTTATGCCAGAGAATAAGCCAATGGCAAAGTAGAAGTGAAAAGTTTAATAACTACTACAAGGATCTGGAGTATGATATGCTGTGTGAGGAGGTTAATAATGTGTGAAATCAGTCAGACTATGCAGTTTTTTGCCATTCGATAGCACATAATGTAGCAAATGCTCATGAATAAATTGGGCTGAAGCTCCCAGCTGTGGGTATGGCCAGCTTCCAGTTCTAACTGCAGACTGGAGCGCAGGATATAAAGGACAGACCTATGTGCTGTGCTCAGCTCACTGAAGAATTCTAATAGGGTGTTAGTGAGACTTTTACATGAGGAGATACATTAAATTGAAATTTCTCTTATATTGTAATCAAACTTTTAATTACCAAAATATTAATGCAGTACTCCTCAGCTTAGGAAAATATGTCTGTATGTAGGCAGAGCTATTGCTAATTCACATTTTTATCTCTTCGCATTCTCTGGATGTATTTTGCATCTTTGTCTGCTTTGTTGTGCATCTCAAGTCTACATTTTTCAGTCTTACCCATTGTGCATAACTCTTCTAAAGTGATCTGTATCAAAACGTGATAGTGGCACTGCTGGTCTCGGAGCTTCTGTGCCATTGGGTGAAATGGGACTGAAGAAGTCAATACCACTTTTTGACTATCTTCCGGCTGAAGATCAGGACAGAAATAAAGGGGCAGTGAGAAAAAGGCTCTGTTACTGTCTGTAGCTACTTTTCTGCAGTGGTTAAAAGTTTCCTCTGGTAGGAGTAGAGAGCCAGCCAAATACACTTTCCCAGGTTAATGATATCTTTTGAAAACCAGGCTTTCCGTGCAGAAGTGTGTGTATCACTTGATAGAAATCATTTGAACGTATAGAGTACTCATTTGTTTTTACAGACCCACAGCCTTTCTGCTGACATGCATACATGTCTGGACTCCATTCCTGCAGAGATGTGTCATGAAGAACAGGCAAGCCAAGCCCACAAAGGAGAACGAGGCCAGATAAAGCCATAGTGCTGGTCCCACTGAATCTGGTGGCAGTGTTCATAATAAATGGTGAGACTTTGGGCTAAAAGTAGGAATTCATTCCTGTACTCAGAAGGATGGGAGAAGGTCGTTGTCCTGGACCTGCACAATGGAGCAGGTATCTGGTAGCGTCACCTGCTGCTTATCTATCCCAATTTATATTTTCCCTTCCTGAGTTTAAAGAAATCCCAAGTGAAACAAACAAATGAAGAGCACGCTTTTCTATTGAATCAATTAAATTTATTTTCCCATCTGCATAATTATGCAACCAATTTGCTTATATAACCAATGGCTTCAATTGGAAGGCAAAAACATGCTTCACATTATGAAAATTATGCAAATCCCCCAAGGGTTGTGAGACTGTTAAGTTGATTTAAAGCTTCACCGAGCTACAGATAGTTCCTAAGCCTTGTCAGTCCTCTTTTTAGCCTTTTCTGCTCAGAAATGCAGTGGGTTGTATGCGGATAGCTATGCTCCCCAACAATTAATCTCTCTTTGATCTTCTACTCTGCAGCAATAGATGTTTTTCCTCATCTTTCCCCAACAGTAAGATCCTGTTACAGTGTGCAGTTAGAGAATTCGGAGGGTCAAAAGAAGTTTGTATAACAGTGTGCTTTTTAAAGCTTACTAGTCTTTTAATTTATGATCCACGTTGTATTAAAAAAAAAGTTACATATTTTCTGTGGGGATTTTTTTAGAGAAAAGCATTCACCAGTAGAAGGAAACAATGCTTTGGAGTTTGTGTTACTCCCAAGCTAACAATCTGGAGCCTGGTTCTTACAGAAAACCATTGAACTGACATTAGAACCATTGCTTCTACTTCCTTTTGAGAGACAAAATACAGATCCAATCTGAGATTTCACCATGAAATGAATGACTACAAGGACATGACAATTGAAAAGGTATTTTGTTTGAACATTTGATTTCCAGAACCATTAAGTAAATAAATTGATCAGTAGATGAAAGGACTTGAGAACGCAGAAGGTTCATTACTCAAATATCTTTCCAGAACTGCTTCTCAGGTGGCTCTCATTCAGGTCTCCCTCAGGTCGTCCTCTCATCTGAGGATGGCTTTTCACTGGCAGTGCTCAGGCAGTTGTGGATCACCTGTCTGGAAGCATGAGTGAGAGCAGAAGAGTAACTAAAGAATGCAAAGGTGAAGAGTTTGTTGCAGTCAGTTTGGGACTGAAAGAGGTTAAGAAACAGGGGCTAAGAGTTTCGGTTGCTAAAGACTGAATAACCCTTTTTAATGGGTATTAAAAAGGTCCATTGGTCAGATCAGTCCTATGGCTTAGGCTGACTAAAACAAGATATGTTGCAAATGAAACCATGTCCCTGGGTGCCACATCCACATGGTTCTTGAACACAGGGAAAGCGTGACAGCTGTAGGCGTGCTGCAAGGTAAAAGGCTCAGCATCTGCATATCTGTTACGGGATGAAACGGAGGAGGAACAGATGCAGGATTGTTACTCAGATTTATGGGAGTGGTTGCTGCTTTTAATGGGTCAGGTATGAAACCGTTGGCTCTTCTGTGTGTTTCACCTCATCCAGAATTAAAGCGTTTTGTGAAAATGTTAAGTGCCAGCACCAACAGCACCATTCTTTCTGTAGAAGAAAATAACAAAAGAAAAAAAAAGGGTTTTAAAGATGGGCGTTCAATACCTAAAGGGAGCCTACAGAGGGGAGGGGAATCAACTCTT